ACCCCAGGGGGTTTGGGGACAGGGGACAGGGGACAGGCGACAGGAACAGGGGACAGGGGCAGGGGACAGGGAACACGGACAGGGACAGGGGACAGGGACAGGGGACAGGGGGACAGGGACAGGGGACAGGGACAGGGGAACACGGACAGGGACAGGGGAACAGGGACAGGGGACAGGGACAGGGGAACAGGGACAGGGGGACAGGGGGACAGGGGGACAGGAACAGGGACAGGGGACAGGGAACAGGGACAGGGACAGGGCCGTGCCCCGATGCCCTCAGAGCACAGAGGATCCACATGGGGAGTTCGGGATTCGAATGTCTCTGGTCATCACTGGGCATGGGGACACCAGGGGACACTGGGGGGACATTGGGGGGCACTGGGTGACACCAAGGGACACCAGGGTGACACCGGGGTGACACCGAGGGACACCGGTGGGACACCGGGTGACACTGAAGGGACACTGAGGGACACCAGGGGGACATCGGGTGACACCGAGGGATCACCGGGTGACACTGAAGGGACACTGGGTGACACTGGGTGACACTGAAGGGACACCAGGTGACACCAGGTGACACTGGGTGACAGCGGGGTGACACCGGGGAACATGGGGTGACACCAGGGGGACACTGAAGGGACACTGAGGGACACCGGGTGGCAGCAGGTGACAGTGGGTGACACCAGGTGACAGTGGGTGACAGCGGGTGAGAGCGAGTGACAGCAGGTGACAGCGGGTGACACTGAAGTGACACTGAAGGGACAGCGGGTGACACCAGGTGACACCAGGTGACACCAGGTGACGGTGACAGCGGGTGACAGCAGGTGACAGTGGGTGACAGCGGGTGACAGCAGGTGACACCAGGTGACAGCGGGTGATAGCGGGTGGCAGCAGGTGACAGCGGGTGACAGCAGGTGACAGCAGGTGACACTGAAGGGACAGCAGATGACAGCAGGTGACAGCGGGTGACAGCAGGTGACAGCAGGTGACAGCGGGTGACAGCGGGTGACAGTGGTGACAGCAGGTGACAGCGGGTGACACCAGGTGACAGCAAGTGACACCAGGTGACAGCAGGTGACAGCGGGTGATAGCGGGTGGCAGCAGGTGACAGCGGGTGACAGCAGGTGACACCGGGTGACAACAGGTGACAGCGGGTGACAGCGGGTGACAGCAGGTGACAGCAGGTAACAGCAGGTGACAGCGGGACGCACGGGCTGGTTGAGGTGGTGGCCCACGGAGTCGGCCAGGGTGCCGATGGCGTCGTACAGGATGAGCAGGTTCTTGTGCTGGTATTTGCCGAAGGCGAACACCAGTGTGTCCAGGATGAAGCTCAGGTACGGAACCAGCTCCGTGCACGCCTCCTCCTCCAGCGTGGCGAACGCGCTGAGGGAACCCCAAAAACATCGTCAGGGACCCCAAAAATGTCATCAGGGACCCCAAAAACATCATGGGACACCCCAAAAACATCATCAGGAACACCAAAACATCATCAGGGAACCAGCTCCGTGCACGCCTCCTCCTCCAGCGTGGCGAACGCGCTGAGGGAACCCCCAAACAACATCAGGGAACCCCAAAAATATCATCAGGGACACTGAAAACATCACAGGACACCCCAAAAACATCGTCAGGGACCCCAAAAACCATGTCAGGGACCCTGAAAACGTCGTCAGGGACACCAAAAACATCATGGGACACCCCAAAAACATCGTCAGAGACCCCAAAAATATCACAGGGGCCTTGAAAATGTCGTCAGGGACCCCGAAAACATCACAGGACACCCCAAAAACGTCATCAGGGACCCTGAAAACATCATCAGGGAACCCAGAAACATCATCAGGGACCCCCAAAATATCACGGGACACCCCGAAACATCATCAGGGACCCCAAAAACACCATCAGGGACCCCCAAAACATCACGGGACACCCCAGAAACGTCATCAGGGACCAGGGACCCCAAAAACACCATCAGGGACCCCAAAAACATCATCAGGGACCCCCAAAACATCACGGGACACCCCAGAAACGTCATCAGGGACCCCAAAACACCATCAGGGACCCCCAAAACACCATCAGAGATCCCCAAAACACCATCAGGGACCCCAAAAACATCATCAGGGACCCCCAAAACACCATCAGGCACCCCCAAAACACCATCAGAGATCCCCCAAAACACCATCAGGGACTCCCAAAACACCATCAGGGACCCCAAAAACATCATCAGGGACCCCCAAAACACCATCAGGGACCCCAAAAACACCATCAGGGACCCCAAAAACATCATCAGGGACCCCCAAAACATCACGGGACACCCCAGAAACATCATCAGGGACCCCAAAACACCATCAGGGACCCCCAAAACACCGTCAGGGACCCCCAAAACACCATCAGAGACCCCCAAAGCCGTGGTGGGAGCCCCGGCGGGTCAGGCAGTACGAACACAAAACGTCCTCACATCGCTCAGAGGAACGGTGTCATCATCCCCGGGGGGCTCCCAAAACCATCAGGGGGTCCCCAAAACTCCCCAAAACCCCCCCAAAACCTCACAGGAACCCCCAAAACCCCCCCAAACCCCTCAAAAACCTCACAGGAACCGCCCAAAACCCCCCAAAACCTCTCATGACAGAACCCCAACA